TAAATTTCTGTTCATTTAATGACTGTTCTGTAAAAGTTTGGCGACCAAGCCGCGACTGAATTTTCGAACATCTCGGAACTAATTTTTTGACCATGCCGCGATTATTTGATCATGCAGATACTAATTTTTTGACCATGTAACTAATTTTTCGACCATGGCGCGACTAGTTTTCCGACTTTGCCAAGACCAACTTTTTGACCATAGCGACTGAAATATGCTATTACCAGAATTTTTCCACGATTGAAAATCATGTCCAGACTATGGAATTTTGGTCGCGGAATGAATATCGAAAGGACCGACAAAGTCAAAAAGTAACTCGCGGACTTGAACCCGGAATGTTCCAACCATCGACAAATAACAAAAAATTTTGACGCAAGCTAATTTACTAGAGCAGTTCACCACAAAACGTCAAAAAAACAAAATGTTTATTTCAAACGCGCCGATGGCAAGTAGCGACCGCTTGCTGTGCTACGACGAGAAAACGATGTCCAATGGCAAATAAGTCGACTGGCAACTATTTATCCCGCGGCATCTATGTCAAAATAACCTCAACAAAAACAGAAAAAAACAAATGCTATCCTGATCAACAAATGCTATACTGATCAGCTATCCTGATCGACTGTTTTCTTTCCAGACATCCTCATAATTAACCTAACAATTTTGCTCCCTAGTAAGTATGCAATTTCCCTCCCTAATGAGTAAGTAAGTCACCCTCATGTCTTGTTCAGTATAAAACATATGTCATTTAATCATTATTCCCGAGCCGAGGTTGTGGTCTTATGATCAGACAATCTCGACCAAATTTGGATATTTCCAAAACGCTGCGACCGGAATTAGGTATATCCAGGCTTTGCAAACCGAAGGATTGTGTCTGCAAACGGCGTAAGCAAAGGAAGAGTAACCATAAGACCGGCGATACGACAAGAAAAATTAACCGCGATCAGCACGACCGAAAGAAAATTAACCGCGACCGGAAAAAAATTAACCTTGACAGATGCGACGGAAGGAAAGTTAATGGCATTCGGGGAAAAACGACTGGATTAAAACGTTTCTAAAGAGTTTGAAGCAGTAAAAACACTTGACGCTGTAAAATTAACTTCACAAAAAATACATATATACTGGATTTTTTTGTTTAGATTATGTGAAACATTAAGAGGAACTTTTTTTCCACGCAAAATCATCTTCCACAAACAATCGAAGGAGAAAGTTGAGTATTATATGATTTTTAAGCTTCTCAGTCGTGATTCGAACGATCTTAAAAACTCAAAAAAGTTTCGAAAAAAAAACTGGTAAGAAATTTTTAGTTAAGTGAAGAAATTAAGTGGTTAAATTTTAATTTTACTCGATTAATTTGTTTTTTTTTAAAGTTTTTACTGCCTATTTTGTAATTACAATTTTTTCTGTTTTTTTTTCTTTCCTTTGTTGTTTTTCTAGAAATTTTTCCTTTACAGTCTGCTATTTTGTTGTGACTGTCAAGAATGCTTAATACTTAGTTTTTCGTTCAGATATAAAATGAAAAAAAAATTTGTTGTCTTTCGACTTTCTCTAAGACTATGGTCGTTTCATGCTGTGCTACTTGCACAGTAACCGACAATGCTTCTTCGCTATTTGCAACCGTTTTACAGTTTTTCAAGCAAAAAATCAGATAAATTTTCGATAAAATCAAATTGTTTTTTCTAGCTTTAAGTTAAAAGCTTGCTGTTTGTCATACAAATTTCTGTTCATTTGATGACTGTTCTGTAAACTTTTGGCAACCATGCCGCAACTAATTTTTTGGTCACGTCGGCAATACTTTTTTGACCCTGCTGCAATATTTTTGACCATGTACGGACCAATTTTTCGACCTTGCCGCAACTAACTTTTTGACCATAGGGACTGAGATGCGCTATTTCCAGAATTTTCCGCGATTGAAAACCATGTCCAAAATATGGAATATTGGTCGCGGAACTAATATCGGCAGGATCGAAAAAGTCAAAAAGTAACTCGCGGACTTGAATCCGGAATGTTCCAACCGCCGACAAATTACAAACAATTTTGGTGCAAGCTAATTTATCAGATCACTTAACCACAAAACGACAAAAACGAAAAACGCTTATTTCAAACGCGCCGAAAGGCAAGTAGCGACAACTTGCTATGATACGACGAGGTACCGATGTCCAGCGGCAAATAAATCGAGTGGCAACTATTTATTTATGTCAAAATAACCACAACAACAATTTAAACAAATGCTTGTCTCTAAAATTTTGAGTTTGAGGAAAAAGTGTCGAACTTCACAATACACGGCACCTAATATTTATTAAGAAACATTTACCAAGTGGCAACTAAGCTTGTCGAGTGGCGGCTTTTTATAAAGCGGCAAATAGATCGAAAAATCAACAACAGCAAAGATTCGAATGCTTGTCCTAAAGATGTTCAACTTGAGAAAAGCAAGTCTGCTGGCGTCAATAAGTTTTTTAGACACAATGTCTGAGCGGCAACAAAAGCCAAAACTTACGACGAGTGGCCATTTTTTATCGAGCAGGAACTATTTTGCAAAAACTACAATTATAAAATCTTCAATTGCTTGTCTGTATGATGTTAAATTTTAAAAAACAAGTTCAGCAACATATGCGCCGATGTTTAAAAGGTCTTAAGACATAATGATTGAACGGTAACTAAGTCGAAAACTATGTCGAGCAAGAACTATTTATCGAGCGGCAACTAGGTCGAAACATCATTACTACAAAAAATCAATTATTGTCTCAAAAATATTCAATAAGAGGATAAATCGTTCAGCATTACAATTGCCGGCGTTCAATAGGTATTATCGAGCGGTAACTATGAAAGAAAAAACAATTAAAAAAATTCAAATGTTTGCCTAGATAAAGTTAAAGTTGAGGACAAAACATTCAGTAACATAATTGTTGGCCTTTAATTATTGTTAGGAAACATTTGTTGGCGAAAAACGATGTCGAGCATCAACTATGTCGAAATAAGCACAAGTCAAAATATTCCAAAGGCTTGTCTCGAAGATATCCAGTTCGAAGAAATTGCATTCAGCAATAAAATCGGTGGCCTAAAAAGTACTAGGAAGAATTCATTGAGAGGCAAAAGAGACGAAAAAACGATGTCGTACGCAAACTTTTATCAAACTGCAGCTGTGTCGAAAAAAAAAACACAAGGACAGTAATATCAACTGCTTGTCGGATAATGTTCAATTTTCTTGTCTTCAAGATGTTGAACTTGAAGCCACGTTCACCAACACGTTTGCCTGCGTTTAAAAATTATAATATGTCTTGGGTTAGTATATCTACAAAATACATGAATAAATCAAAATTACCTTCTGTAACACTGAAACTACCCACCGCAATACAAAAACTTTGATGTGGCAACATAGCCGACAAAGAATGGACAGACAAATAGACGATACAAAAGGCCGACTATTTTTTTTTGAAAAATGATTTTTTCAGTTAAAAAACGGGTCCTCGTCGAATTCAAACCGGTAACTCAGCACAGCAATCGGTACAGCAACCGGTAACTCTTTCTAACCTGCACAACAATCGGTAACTCTTTCTACGGTGTATTAATAGAGCACCAAATTTATTGGTCACTGAAGTTTCTACAAACTGCTGAACGTGACCGCAATGGAACAAAACTTCAGTGTTGAAACAACAAATGTTTTTCTAAACTATTTGTTTTATAGTTTCATCCAAATTGTAGAGCCCAAATTTTAGTTCATTTAAGCAGATCAAATCGAACTGTCATTTCAGTGGCCGCCCTGCAATTTCCATCTACTTTGGGAAAAATTTCATCAACTAAGAAATATTCATGCGCTCCATTTTATCATCTGAGCGGTTTATGTGGGCAGATGTTGTGGTCCAGTTTGAAACTCGACTGGTCTGTGATCCTCGTGATATTCTGGTTGACCAGCCGGTGACCCTCTTCAAATGAGAACTGTGTTTAAGCCTACATTCAAGCTGAAGATTTCAATTTTCTGTAGTCTCCATTTGAGTATTTGGAAGTCATCAACGGAAAAGGTTAGAATAACTTGAAAAATGTTCATAATTTGTAAGTTAGGTAATTACTTAACTACTGAGAAATTTAAGCAAACGAAAAACATAAATTGTATTACCAGGAAATGATGTTGAACAAAGTTTTTTTTAACAGAAATGGAACTATTACATCACTGTAGTACGATAAAAAAAAGTTTAGTCATATTAGTAAATTAATCCATGCTGATGATGAGTAACTAAAAAATTAATTATGAAAATTTCCATTGAAGTCTATGTTTGTTCGGACCACTCCCTTCCAGTTTTTGTTCCGACAAACCACCTGTATAGGATCTATGGCGTGTTTTTTTCATCAGGCAAACAAAAATGGTTGATATATTTTCATACTTTGGACAGCGTCGTATTTCGGGTAGCGTTTTGAGACATTACGGGGTCCGCATGCTGTCCTCTCGGGGTTTAATTACGTTTGCATACTGTTTAAACACAGGTTGATTTTTTTTCGAGAAATAAATGCTTTCTTTCTCTCATATTCAATCTTTTTCAGTCGTTAATAGGATTCGAAAAAAATCAAGTTGTCGAAAAAAATCAAGTTGTCATCGAAAAAAATCAAGTATAGATAAAAAATTGCTATTCAGTTTGATTCGCCACTACAGGAAGGCTGATGAGAAAAGCAACAACCATAGAATAGATATGACTTCGACTTAGTTATGATTTTGAGCTTTTCGAGGCCAACATTTTTTATTCATCCTCGTATCTGAACTTCAATTGTATCTCGCTATCGAAAAAAATGAACAAAAATTTAAAAAAAAAATAGAAAATTTTCTGAATAAATTTTTAATTTTTTGAAAAAATTTTCTTTTTAATAACGTAATAACTAAGGTTCCAGCATTCTGCGCTACCTACACGGTAATTGGCCACCCTTATTTAAGACTAGGTACGATAAAAAACAGTCAATCATTTCAAGGAAAGATGAACACAACACCAACATCTAAGAACATGTCTCTGATTATGGGGGTTCTAGTTATTGCCCTGTGGGGCACAGAGAGAGCGAGGGGGGAAAAAGACTGCCCTGAGAAGTATGCTGCTCTTACTGGCAATGGTGTGCAACATGAGTGTTTTTATTCGCCAAAAGGAAAACTGTTCAAGACAATGACAGAAGCACAAGCTGCTTGCAAAAAGTGAGTATATGACCAAATTACTCATTCCAAATCAATCAAATATATCCAATTAATTATCTCATGATTGATAAATGCAATTTGATTAAGTTAATTTGTTTTTGTGAGGAAAATATTTCGCAATATGTCAGATTATAGTCGCTGAAAATCTAACAAAATTATTTCGAACTTAAACAAGAATAGTACAGAAACAAAATACGCATTGCTGCGAGTAGCACAGAGAGTTACGAAGACCATCATTTGGGCAAACAATCACATTAGCAGCATCTGACATAAATCTGCTTCTGTATTTGAGGTATTCCGACGGCTATTTGGCACAGCCAAAAGGCAAGAACAATCTGGACACTCTTATGAGGGATGTTCTGATGAAGCAAAACCACGGCGGTTTCAGTACAACCGAAAAAGGATGGGTGGGATTGGGACGTCTGCACATCTCTATTGATACGGACGACATCTCCAAAAAGAATGCATCTCTCACTGGTAAAGAGTACTTTGGCGCCTTCACTACTCTTCTCGAGGTACGCAGTCGGCAAGCAATCACTTCTGACCACACCCCCCCCCCATCAAATTCAAAGGCAAATTCGATTTTGCAACAAAACAACAAAAAAATGTGACATTAGCTGGAAAATTTATAGGGAAAAAATGAACTTTTCGTTGAAATGACAATGAGCCGATTTGAAAATGTGGAGGGAGGTATGAGACCCGCCCTCACTTTCTAGTCTGTAGCCAACAGACTGTTTGGTAAAAGACCTAGACCAAATGCCATTTAGTGCTGGGCAGTTTCTTAATTGATGATGATGCTGTCACAGGTGAAAGTTTCTTTGATTTTCATTTAGTTCACTGTTAAGACTTTTGAAAGACTAAAACTGATTCAATTTGACCTTTATCAATGCTAAAGTGTGAGACAAAATTTCTTTAACGAGAAAAACAAGCAAATTCTTTATATTTTTAATCAGGAACTCGCAACAGCGATAAAATTTCTCTCCAGGTTCCATCGAATGTATATAAAGAGGCCAAAAAGGACGCTTCAGATAGGGAAGATTGCCTGGTTGTACAGTTCCACAAATACAGTGAGAAGCAAAGATCGGGAGCAGACAAAGGTGGTAAATTGATTGATGTTCCCTGCACAGTAGGCGATGATGAGGAAGGCTACAGGGCCGTTTGTGAACAAGAAAGGTCCGAAAAACGATAGACGCGCCAACACCAACACCGTCACAACAAAAAACAGAAGCTCAATGCGCATAAAATACTGGCGAAACTATCATCTAAAGCTCTGGGCAATTGGTTTCGGCAAAATAAAACTGAATTAATACTATGATTTGATTATAACATGAATAAAAATCCTAAGGTCTTCGCATGAAAACTTGACCACAAGACATGGTTTAGAGTTCAGTAGAAACTACAGGTTTGAAAAAGTTAACATTTGACCCTTGAGAAAAAAGGGGATTGTTATCGAGCATCTTGTTATTGGCTTCATACAAAAAAGGCTGTTGTCAAAGAATTGAGTTAGAACCGAGTTGGTTAACTCATAGAGTAATTTCGGATAGGGTACACCGTCTGCTCGTCACGCTATCTTATTTTCGGCCGGATAGATTCGTGCAACTTCTTAGTCTAATACCGATCCTAATCTTACTCTTATACTATCTAGTCTCAGGTTGTTTAACTAGTCTCTGCTAAGCTCAATAGATCTAGGGTATACTGGTTTATTGCGGCTGCTGAAGTTCTCTTGGAGAGGCAACTAAATTCTAAGTTAAATTCAAATCTCTCTGGTGCTGAAATTACAAGTAATTTCAGCACTTACAAATAAGTGGGTTGTTAGTTTGATGGATCATGATTGGTTAATATTAAATACTTTACAGTGGTAAAATATCTAATTTATCCAATCATAAAAAGTAGTTTAGATCAGGTTCCACCCATCCGGGTTTTACAGAGTTTTTTAGAATAGTCTTTCTGTAATTCAAAGGATGGATGATGAACGTTGGTATTTGGCGAACATCATATTTCTTCTGGGTTCTCTTGTTAGAGAAGTTCCAGGTTCAATCGTTGTGTCTTCTCATGACAACGACTGGGTTTTCGCAACAAACTCAAATCTGATTTCAGAATGGTTGGCTATGACAGGTTTTCCGTTTCATGTAGAGAACTTCTTTTGTGTTTGACCTTGTCTGGGAATGGCGTGGAGATTGTGCGTGGAGGGGATGCCTGGTTACTCGGATCTGTACGTATACTTGAACATCGAGGTGGTCATTGGTCTAGTTCAATGAAGTCCTTTTCTGCGAAGTCAAGTCGTACTCTAAATCCTTTGAGTTGTGATTGTGGGCGGCATATTGATTGTGGTTGGCCATTCTTTTTCGAGTGTAGTGGGGTCATTTTGTCTTTGGATGTTCGTCTTTGGTGTTGTATGCTGATCTATATACTGCAAGGTATAATTTACATTTTATAAAAGTTTTATTAGTTTGGTGTTTTAATTATGATTTTGGTTAGTTGTTTTCACAAAAGCTTTTTGTTTTAGTTTGGTTATTTTGAAGAGTTACTCACCCTTGAGTACCTCTTATTAAAAATAGGAGTGTGGTCACAAAGCGTGGATGTAGCGCGGTGGGTTAGGCCGGCTATAGAGCATGCTCAGGACGTCCTCTCTGGTGGGTTAGGCCAGGAGTGGGAGTATGATTTCGTGCGGTCTCTGTGAGAGGTCCTGTTAAGTGATAACATTTTATGTTGGGTTTTTTGTGGTTTTTCTTATGTTTCGTTGGTTGTGTCCTTTTTTCAAAAAGCAAATTGTTTTCGATATGGGTTTGTCTTTCGACTTTTTTGTGTTTTATTATTTCTTTCTTAGACTTTATAATAGTCTTCAAAAGAATAAATTATCCAGTTTTAAACTGGGTTAATCCGGTTTGGGTACCGTTGGTTTCCTTTTCTTAGTCATGCTGTTATTCTATGATCTGTGGTGTTTAGTAAGCTGCATTGGTTAGTTTTGTTTAGTATATAATTCCTTTCCAACCGGGTTAAAGGAAAGTTTGAAACGTGTTATCTTGTATTAGAGTTGTTGAGTGTGAAAGCTTAAAACTGAAATTCATTATTTTAAACAATTCTTCGTGGGCGAGCTGTGCGAGTTTGGATAGAATTTTTGTGCGAGTGAATGAAATATCAAAAGGTTAGTACTGCATTTTCGTTTTATCAATTTACTACATAGAATTTCAATTTTACTGCTAGTTTTTGGGAAAAATTAAGTTACAAATTTTCATCATTATTAGATTTACTGCTTGTGGGGAAACAATTTATAAATTAATTTACTACATTGGTATGAATTTTATTTAAATTAGCTTGTGCAAAATATTAATAGAGTTTTGAACAATTTGAAGAAGTTTTCTATTTTTCATTTTTCTTTTGTGTATTTTGTAGATGATCGTGGGACGAAGACTAAAAATCTAAATAAGACAGGGATAAAGAATGGTTAGTGTTTTATTTTAAATTTATTAGTTAAGAATATGTATAAGTCATACTTACCTGTTAGTCGTCGGGGAAAAAACCGTGGGGAAAGATGTCGTGGATTATGTCGGAATTTGTTAGTAATTTTGCTAGTATGCGAATGATGTTTTTAGTTTGAAGCAGTGGCCAAAGCAATTGAAGTGCTTTAATGGTTTTTAGTTCTTCAGTGCCAACTGCAAACTCATAAGGTGTGTTTTGGATGAGATTGTATAATTTGTGATTGTATTTAGTGTTGTGGATGAATTCTAATATCGGGATTTCTATAGGTTGAATAAATTCATGTGGGATTAGGAAGGGTCTAAATTCTTCTGCGTTGAAGGTCTTCGTGATGGGACAAAAAATATACATTTGGGTTATGGGATCATAATTGCGAAGAATACCGTGAAGGTTAGTATCTTTGATGCAATATGTGAAGTTAAGAAAAAATGGTGATGTGTATTTAGAGTTAATAAATTGAAAACGGTGGTGTGGTTGTCTTGATGGAGTGTGTAGGTCAAAGTGATTTTGTATGAAGCGGTAATATGTATATGTGTGGGTTTGTTTAAGGCGTAACATAATGTCGTGTGAGCAGTGCAAATCTCGTTCATGTGGTGCAAGGAAATGAAAGGTTAGTGAAAATAATGGAAATTTTTCTTCAAATCCTTCGTAAGCTTGTGTGTCGGTTAGTGCTTCAGAAATGATGTGGTCGAATTTGCGATCAAATATATTGAGTGTAAAAACATATGGTGTTTTGATGAAAAATTTTTCTGTGATTTGTGGGTTAGCGAAACGGTCATCATCTAAAAATTGGTCTTGGTTAGCTCGGATGATGTTATGATCGTAATATTCTAGCGTATATTCGTTAGCTCGGGGTGCAGTGTATGTTTTTAGTGACTTTTTATATCCTATATAAGTAATTTTTCTATGTGTTAGTGGTGTAGTGAGTCGATATAGCATATTTTGATTTCTTTCTATATCGATGTGAGTATTAGATAAAGGTAGGCAAAGGGGGTTAGTAAAATGATAATATGATGTCCATTGAAGTGTAGGCATTAAAACGTGTTCATCTACAAAACTGCGTGTGTTGTTAGTTTCGTTAGGGGTGTTCAAAGTATACTGTGGAAATGAAGGTAAGGTGATTGCTAAAAATTCTTTCGTGTTAGTGTGATTTGGGTGATTAATATATTCACGGGCTGTTCCTGGTTTTGTTGGAAATGGATGGTTTGGGAATTTTCTTTTGAAAGTGCGGTAAGCTCTATTAGTGCTAATTGATGATTCGGTGGATGTGGATGATGGTGCTAATGATGCGGTATAAGCTGAAGAGGGTGTAGGGGTAGGTGGGTTTGATGATTCTATGGTTGATGAAATCTGGTTTATAGTTGAGGTGTCAAGGTGGAAGGGTTGTTGTTGTAAGGTGATAAAATTATCTAGTTCTTGGGAGATTTGGGGGGTGTCTGGAGAATTGGATGATCGGTCTGAATGAAGTGAAGAGTAGGTTGGGGTAACTTGTGAAGCATAGGAGGGTGTAGAAATGGATGGGAGGGGGTTATTTGGTGGGATTGGTTGAAAAAGGGGTTTCAAAAAAACTGAGGGATTGGTTTGAAAATTATTGGATGGAGATGGTTCAGAGTCGGCAAATTCATCAGGGGTTTCAATATCTGGGTTATTGAGTTGTGAGATGGAGTATAAAATTGAGATATGTGATTTAGTGTCTGAATTCATGCCTGATGTTATATTATTGGTTGAGAAATCGGGTGGCGGGAAAGCAAAAAGTGGAATTATTGTAATTGGAGTGTTGAGGTTGGTTGGGTGGGAATTTGAGCGGTGTAGGGATCCAAGTTGTCGGCTCATCGTGGGCTAAAAAAATTATTATTTTGAGACTGAAAAGCGGTGGTATGTGGTTGTTCTATAATTTGTTCATATGTTCATGTTGAATGGGACTTTGTGATATGGTTGGTCTAAAATTTGGATTATGTGTTATTGCTAAATTTCGAAAATTTCGTGGGACTAGGGATAATGGATGGTTATGTGGTAGGGGTGGTAACTGTGGGGCTGTAGGCGTTATTTCTACATTGTTATGTTCTTCGTCATATGTGTTCTGTCTTGTTGCTATTTTTGTGTTGTATTCTTTTATTTGTGCGTCTAAAAGAATTTTGTTTATTGATGATGAAAAAATTCCAAAAAATCCTGCAAATAGGATGCGTGCTACACTTGCTTGTCTATTTACTTGTGTGTGTATAGCGCATGTATTATAGATTCCTTTTAAGAGTGAGAAGAGAAATCCTATAAAGTTAAACATTGCGTATAGAATAGTTAATTTTTCTAAGATGTAATAGGGCCATCCTAGAAAATCAAGAATTTCATTTTTGAGTGTAACAAAGCTAAAAATATTTATAGGTGAGATATCTTGTGGTCGGTATTTTTCACCGTTGAGATATATATAGTCTTTAATGTCTTTAAAATATCCGCTATAATCTTGTGTATAAATATCTGCAAATCCTGCGGTTTCGGCAAGTTTGCGTAAGTTTTGGTCAATTGATTGTTTTTGTATAGTGTCCATTTGTGTTAATAATTCTTGGAATTGCTGTGTTCTAATGTGATGTTGTATATCGGATTTTGAATATATTCCAATTGATTGTAGGTCAATATTTGGATTTCGAACAATAGCTCTAATGCTTTCAGGTGAAAATTTTTTGAGTGATTGCATTAATGTGGGATATGGGGTAAGAAGGTAAAACTTA